TCTGTCCAGGGAGAGTTTCAGAGCAGGATTTGCATTTAAGAACAGGGTTTTGTAAATGTAGTTGACACAAGAGAATTTGTGGAGTGAGATTATGTTTAGCATGTTTAGGGAGTTAAACAAGGGGGCTGAGTGTTGTCTGAAAGCAAAATTTGTTATTATTCTGATAGCAGATTTTTGCTGGGTGATGATGGACTTGAGGTGGTTTGCAGTGGTTGAACCTAATGCACAGATACCATAATTAAGATAGGGATAGATTAGTGCATAATATAATGAGAGCAGAGTTAGGTACATAATATCTGATTTTTTAGAGTATACCAACTGTTTTAGAGACTTTCTTAGTTATGTGTTGAATGTGGGTACTGAAGTTGAGTCTCTTGTCTAGGAACAGGCCAAGAAACTTTCCATCATTTTTATTGCTAATGTTAACATTGTCTATCTGAAGCTGAATTGCATTTGTAGATTTACTTCCAAATAAGATGTAGTAAGTCTTTTCTATGTTAAGTGTTAGTTTGTTGGTTGACATCCATAAGTGGACTTTTTTAGTTCATTATTAACAACATTATTTAGTGTATGTGGGTTGGGGTTAGAGTAGATGAGGGTAGTATCATCAGCAAACAAAATTGGTTTTGAATGTTAGAATGTGAGGTGACATGTGAGGTGACTTGAGAGGTGACATGTGAGGTGACTTGAGAGGTCACATGTGAGGTGACTTGAGAGGTGACATGTGAGGTGACTTGAGAGGTGACATGTGAGGTGACTTGAGAGGTGACATGTGAGGTGACTTGAGAGGTGACATGTGAGGTGACTTGAGAGGTGACATGTGAGGTGACATGTGAGGTGACTTGAGAGGTGACATGTGAGGTGACTTGAAAGGTGACATGTAAGGGTTACATGAGAGGTGACACGAGGTGAGGTGACAGCTTACCCTCTCACCTTACACTGAAAAAAACACTATTTACATTCTCCAAATAAGCGAATAGTTCAGGGTGACATGACAGAAGTGTACAAGTTATGATATGACTAATGTGTAAAACATATGACATGACAGAAGTGTGCAAGTTATGACATGACAGAAGTGTACAAGTTATGACATGACTAAAGTGTAAAACATATGACATGACAGAAGTGTACAAGTTATGCCATGACAGAAGTGTACAAGTTATGACATGACTAAAGTGTAAAACATATGACATGACAGAAGTGTACAAGTTATGACATGACAAGTGTACAAGCTATGACATGACAGAAGTGTACAAGCTATGACATGACAGAAGTGTACAAGCCATGACATGACAGAAGTGTACAAGCTATGACATGACAGAAGTGTACAAGCCATGACATGACAGAAGTGTACAAGACATGACATGACAGAAGTGTACAAGCGATGACATGACAGAAGTGTACAAGCCATGACATGACAGAAATGTACAAGCTATGACATGACAGAAATGTATAAGAGATGACATAACAGAAGTGAACAAGCGATGACATGACAGAAGTGTACAGGCTATGACATGACAGAAGTGTACAAGCGATGACATGACAGAAGTGTACAGGCATTAAAATGACAGAAGTGAACAAGCTATGACATGACAGAAGTGTACAAGCGATGACATGACAGAAGTGTACAGGCTATGACATGACAGAAGTGTACAGGCTATGACATGACAGAAGTGTATAGCTTAGAGGTGACATGACAGAAGTGTATACCTTAGGGGTGACATGACTGAAGTGTATTAGTTATGGGTGACATGACTGAAGTGAATTAGTTATGGGTGACATGACTGAAGTGAATTAGTATTGGGTGACATGACTGAAGTGAATTAGTTAGGGGTGACATGACTGTAGTGTAGAAGTTAGGAGTGACATGACTGAAGTGTTGAAGTTAGGGGTGACATGACTGTAGTGTAGAAGTTAGGAGTGACATGACTGAAATGTAGAAGTTAGGAGTGACATGACTGAAGTGTAGAAGTTAGGAGTGACATGACTGAAGTGTAGAAGTTAGGAGTGACATGACCGAAGTGTACAAAAGGATGAATTGTTACAACAGATATATATATATAAGGTATTAAATATATCAACACAAAATGGAAGTCGAAACAAAGAAAATAAATTAGATATGTGTAGATTCAGGAAAGACCTGGGTAAATACTGGCTTGGAAATAGGATGGTTCACCTATGGAACCAATTATCGGGAAACATAATATTCGTGGGATCACTTGATTGTACGTTACACATATATGAATGAGTTTGGGTGCATGTAAATAGGCACTACCTTAAATTGATAATAAGAGCCACCTCGTATAGGTCAATAGGAACTTCCTCGTATGGACTAATAGCAGCTGCCTCGTATGGACTGATAGCAGCTGCCTCGTATGAACCAATAGCAGCTGCCTCGTATGGACTGATAGCAGCTGCCTCGTATGAACCAATAGCAGCTGCCTCGTATGAACCAATAGCAGCTGCCTCGTATGGGCCAATAGCAGCTGCCTCGTATGGACCAATAGCAGCTGCCTCATATGAACCAACAGCAGCTGCCTCGTATGGACCAATAGCAGCTGCCTCATATGAACCAATAGCAGCGGCCTCGTATGGGCCAATAGCAGCTGCCTCATATGAACCAATAGCAGCGGCCTCATATGGGCCAATAGCAGCTGCCTCGTATGGACCAATAGCAGCTGCCTCATATGAACCAATAGCAGCTGCCTCGTATGGGCCAATAGAAGCTGCCTCGTATGGACCAATAGCAGCTGCCTCATATGAACCAACAGCAGCTGCCTCGTATGGGCCAATAGCAGCTGCCTCATATGAACCAATAGCAGCGGCCTCGTATGAACCAATAGCAGCGGCCTCGTATGAACCAATAGCAGCGGCCTCGTATGGACTAATAGCAGCTGCCTCATATGAACCAATAGCAGCGGCCTCGTATGAACCAATAGCAGCGGCCTCGTATGGGCCAATAGCAGCTGCCTCATATGAACCAATAGCAGCTGCCTCATATGAACCAATAGCAGCTGCCTCGTATGAACCAATAGCAGCTGCCTCGTATGGACTGATAGCAGCTGCCTCGTATGAACCAATAGCAGCTGCCTCATATGAACCAATAGCAGCTGCCTCGTATGGGCCAATAGCAGCTGCCTCGTATGAACCAATAGCAGCTGCCTCGTATGGACTGATAGCAGCTGCCTCGTATGAACCAATAGCAGCTGCCTCGTATGAACCAATAGCAGCTGCCTCGTATAAACCAATAGCAGCTGCCTCGTATGAACCAATAGCAGCTGCCTCGTATGAACCAATAGCAGCTGCCTCGTATGAACCAATAGCAGCTGCCTCGTATGTAACCAATAGCAGCTGCCTCGCCAATAGCTGCCTCGTATGAACCAATAGCAGCTGCCTCGTATGAACCAATAGCAGCTGCCTCGTATGAACCAATAGCAGCTGCCTCGTATGAACCATAGCAGCTGCCTCGTATGAACCAATAGCAGCTGCCTCGTATGAACCAATAGCAGCTGCCTCGTATGAACCAATAGCAGCTGCCTCGTATGAACCAATAGCAGCTGCCTCGTATGCAGCTGCCTCGTACCAATAGCAGCTGCCTCGTATGAACCAATAGCAGCTGCCTCGTATGGGCCAATAGCAGCTGCCTCGTATGAACCAATAGCAGCTGCCTCGTATGAACCAATAGCAGCTGCCTCGTATGAACCAATAGCAGCTGCCTCGTATGAACCAATAGCAGCTGCCTCGTATGAACCAATAGCAGCTGCCTCGTATGAACCAATAGCAGCTGCCTCGTATGAACCAATAGCAGCTGCCTCGTATGAACCAATAGCAGCTGCCTCGTATGAACCAATAGCAGCTGCCTCGTATGAACCAATAGCAGCTGCCTCGTATGAACCAATAGCAGCTGCCTCGTATGAACCAATAGCAGCTGCCTCGTATGGACCAATAGCAGCTGCCTCGTATGAACCAATAGCAGCTGCCTCGTATGGACCAATAGCAGCTGCCTCGTATGAGCCAATAGCAGCTGCCTCGTATGGACCAATAGCAGCTGCCTCGTATGAACCAATAGCAGCTGCCTCGTATGAACCAATAGCAGCTGCCTCGTATGAACCAATAGCAGCGGCCTCGTATGGACTAATAGCAGCTGCCTCGTATGAACCAATAGCAGCTGCCTCGTATGAACCAATAGCAGCTGCCTCGTATGAACCAATAGCAGCTGCCTCGTATGAACCAATAGCAGCTGCCTCGTATGAACCAATAGCAGCTGCCTCGTATGAACCAATAGCAGCTGCCTCGTATGAACCAATAGCAGCTGCCTCGTATGAACCAATAGCAGCTGCCTCGTATGAACCAATAGCAGCTGCCTCGTATGAACCAATAGCAGCTGCCTCGTATGAACCAATAGCAGCTGCCTCGTATGAACCAATAGCAGCTGCCTCGTATGAACCAATAGCAGCTGCCTCGTATGAACCAATAGCAGCTGCCTCGTATGGACCAATAGCAGCTGCCTCGTATGAACCAATAGCAGCTGCCTCGTATGAACCAATAGCAGCTGCCTCGTATGGGCCAATAGCAGCTGCCTCGTATGAACCAATAGCAGCTGCCTCGTATGAACCAATAGCAGCTGCCTCGTATGGACCAATAGCAGCTGCCTCGTATGAACCAATAGCAGCTGCCTCGTATGAACCAATAGCAGCTGCCTCGTATGAACCAATAGCAGCTGCCTCGTATGGGCCAATAGCAGCTGCCTCGTATGAACCAATAGCAGCTGCCTCGTATGAACCAATAGCAGCTGCCTCGTATGAACCAATAGCAGCTGCCTCGTATGGGCCAATAGCAGCTGCCTCGTATGGGCCAATAGCAGCTGCCTCGTATGAACCAATAGCAGCTGCCTCGTATGAACCAATAGCAGCTGCCTCGTATGAACCAATAGCAGCTGCCTCGTATGGGCCAATAGGAACAACCTCATACTGACAAATAGTATTCTGCAGCTGTATTTTTTTTTTTTTTTCAGTGGACTCTGTGACGCAGTGGACTCCATGACGCAGTGGACTCCGTGACGCAGTGGACTCCGTGACGCAGTGGACTCCGTGACGCAGTGGACTCCGTGACGCAGTGGACTCCGTGACGCAGTGGACTCCGTGACGCAGTGGACTCCGTGACGCAGTGGACTCCAACACATTATGATGGTGAGGATAGTACTCATGTTGGGCTATACTGACCTATACCTATACTGACCTTCCTCTGGATGCAGGCCACAACAGTCGCCTAACTCCCAGGTACTTATTTTATCGCTAGGTGAATAGAGGCATGAGGCGACCTCCTGCAGGAAGCAACTAACAACAAGATAATTACAATATTTTCCTGAGCGTCTTAGAAGACTTTCAGATCTTTTCTCCTGCAGAAGATTCTCTCTGGCTTGGCACCTTCGTGTCTCTGTTCCTCCTCGCGGCTTCGTTACTTTGCAATTGCCTGAGTTAAAGTCTAGTAGCCATTTGTCGGGTTGTATTTCTGTTTGTCTTGTATTCAAGAGAGGTGTAGAGGATGAGGTCGCATGTCTGAAGGGTAGAATAGAGCGAGAGGCCGACAGTGAAGGCATCGAAGACCTCCATCTGGAGGTTGAGAATTTAGTACTGTCACAAAGAGAGGGTTTACTGGCAGGCATTTTGAGTCTTATTAAAGTCTGCTGAATGTTGTACGAACTGTGTGTTTGGCGTGGTTGTGACCGTGGGTAGTCCCAGGGTCTGTTGATGTAGAGGGCTGAGGGTGTGAGTAGTTATCAGAAGGTGCCAGCCACGAGGACAGTGAGGCACCTAAGTGTGAAATACTCCGCAACATTGTGGTATGATTAGTTTATTTTAGTTCTTCTTCAAATTGGTTTATCGTCATCCTAATTGAAATTAAATTATGGCAATATATGTCTTGTCGCTCTGATGGCAAACTACACTTTTTTCCAATATATATCATATTTCAAGGTGTTAGCTAAATGGTTTTCAACTGATAGTCAAAATTAAAATGTTCTTTGCGACTGTTGTACAGCTGTTAGTCCAGCCAATATTGAAACGATATATATAAGTTGGTAAGAATAAACTTTGTAAACTTTCTAATTCTAGAGTATTAAACCATTCTTGGCTTTCTTGATTTGAATTATTCTGCCCTATACATCATCAATATTTTTAAATGGGTAGTAAAAAATGCCGTACTTACAATATATGAACATATGTTCTGATTGTGACCTAAGACAGCTTTGGGCTCCACAGGATAGGGAGTCAGATGGGCATCCTCAGTGTCCTGACCACCAAGACGAGGCTCTGACACAGTCAGGGGAGGTCCCGGGTGGTCATACATCCCGCTCACAGAGTGCTAACGATGGTCAGCTCGCTTGTTTCAAGTGTCATGCCAGTCAAGGAATCCAGCTGAGAGCGTCTGGACCATCTCCAGGCGGCCCAGGAGGCATCAGCAGGAAGCTGTGGTCGTTGATGCAGGAGGAGAAGATCAGCATCAACAGACTCATTGCAAGGTGTGAGGAGACACTGTGCCAGCTGGGAGAGTACCGGGGCCAGCTGGGAGACTGGAAGACTCACCACCTCCAACTCCAGGATAGACTCAATGGTCTGGTAGAGCAGAACATGTCAGCCATGAGGCTCCTGGACCAGGAGGACGCCAGTGTGGCGGAGATGACCACACGAGGACAGGAAGAGAAGACGCACCTGCACGCCACATTGGGGAGCCTCGACACACCCACAACAGAAAACGAGGCCATCACTGCCACGAACAGAACTAAACAGTGCAAGATGAAGGTGGAAGATTGCATCCAGAGGAGCCGGGAAATTTTTCCAGATGCCACCACTGTCCAATTCTCAGTCAAGGTTCGTTGCTGAAGCCAATATTACTCTCTCTGAACTGAGTGCAATACCTCTTTACAGAGAGTTATCTTGTAGAGACATTGAACCACGTCGTAAATAATTGTAAATATCACTAGCAAGAATGTCTTATATGTGAGTTCTATTTCTCTTACATTATAACCAGACACAAATTATTAAATATAAAGCTCTACATATCAAACAATCTCAAACAGCAATTAACAGCCAACTCACACTCAAGTACACTTCACCACTAATGTTTGTGTTGGTAATGACAGGTGCAGGAGACCATCTGGGAGGCCCTGGAGATGATGACAACAGAGGCAGGTGTCACCGTCCACCTGGGAGACTCAGCCATCGCCACTAATGTTTGTGTTGGTAATGACAGGTGCAGGAGACCATCTGGGAGGCCCTGGAGATGATGACAACAGAGGCAGGTGTCCATCTGCGAAACTCGATGGGCGTCTGGTCGTAAATTTTCAGCCTCCACCACTAATGTTTGTGTTGGTATTGACAGGTGCAGGAGACCATCAGGATGGCCCTGGAGATGATGACCACAGAGGCAGGTGTCATTACAGCTGTTCCCGTCCACCTGGGAGACTCAGACTCCACCATCATGGAGAAAGTCGGAAAGATTACTGGAGGAATATCTTTGAAACAGTTAACTGTAAGTTGCTGAATAGTTCCAGGTTTTACCTTGAACTGCACAACATTTTGGATTTACCGAGACCGGGAAAAGATTTGAGGTACAATTTTCCATCTCGGTTCCGACGAGATGGAACCGAGTCTATAGGAACGAGTGTTCACAAGGAACAGGGTATATACCCTGTTCCTTGTGATGACGTTCGATTGACGGTTGAGAGCCGGGACCGAATAGCTGAAGCTGCTGTGAATGTTATCTTAGTTGCTATTACTCTGGACCTTGTACATTTTCTTAAACGTTCACAAAATTTAGAGCACGTGATTATATTTTTAGCAGTGACTATGGTATTTTGACACCTCGTCGCCTTGCCACTTTATATCAAGCTGGCTGTAACGCCTCTGGGTGAGAGGCAATTCGTTCTTCCCCAATTCAGAGCTTACATGGACTTCGGAGTCCCAGCTGTCCCACTCTCCAGGTCCGCCACGATCAGTATTGTCTCTGGTACTTCCTTCGAATCCTTCAAACTCACACTCTCGCCAGTTCCGCACCAATGCTCCTGTTGGGAACCCCTTCAGACTGCAGGAATATATTTATTTATTTATTTATTTACAATAAGGTACATTAAGGGTTAACAGAGAGCATAGAAATTAAGATGGTTTTACATTCTTGTAAAGCCACTAGCACGCATAGCGTTTCGGGCAAGTCCTTAAACTAACTGATAATTTTTAGATAATTCACAGTAAAATTGACAAAAAATTTTTACAGGTACTTTACAGCTTTACTTTACAGGTACAAATAATTTTAAGTAGAATAATTACAGTGAAATTGACAAAAAAATGTTTACAGATACATTGCAAGAAATATTGACACAAAAACAGATCAGAAAAATACACAATAATGAACAAGGATTACTAAGGGTACATTTGGATAACACTTTAGGGTTATACATTGGTTCACTGAAGCACAATATGAGGATCATTACAAGGAATAATGCAGTAGAATATGCACTCAATACAACAACCATGATATCAGATGATATCTAAGATTACAATGGTATAGTAACATGGCTTAGGTACAAATATTGAGGGATTGGGTAGCATTAGATACAGTGCGAGATAAAGCACCAGGAGAAAAACTATGAAGGAGAAATTAGGTACTTTTTAGTTTTATTTTTGAATAAGGCAAAAGTTGGACAGCTTTTCAATTCATTCGGGAGTGAGTTCCATAGACCAGGTCCCTTTATTTGTATAGAGTGTTTACACAGATTAAGTTTAACTCTGGGGATATCAAAAATATATTTATGCCTGGTGCGGTGATTGTGAGTTCTATTGCATCTGTCCAGGAAGAGTTTCAGAACATGGTTTGCATTTAAGAAAAGGGGTTTATAAATGTAATTGACGCAAGAGAATGTATGGAGTGAATTTATGTTTAGCATGTTTAGGGATTTAAACAGGGGAGCTGTGTGTTGTCTGAAAGAGTTTGTTATTGTCTTGATAACAGATTTTTGCTGTGTGATGATGTGATGATGAGCTTGAGGTAGTTTGCAGAGGTTGAACCCCAAACACAGATACTATAAGTAAGATAGGGATAGATAAATGCATAATAGAGGGAGAGGAGAGCAGAGTAGGGTACATAATATCTGATCTTAGAGAGGATACCAACTGTTTTAGAAACCTTTTTAGTTATGTGTTGTATGTGGGTGCTGAAGTTGAGTCTCTTGTCTAAGTATAGGCCAAGGAACTTTCCATCATTTATATTGCTAATGTTTACATTATCTATGTTTACTTTACCAATGTAACGTACGATTAAGTTACGTTGTTGGGTAGATTAGATACACAGTGTTTAGTGAGTTTTCATAATTATTTAGTAGTCTTGGATAGAGCAGTGTCGTAGACTTTGAGACGGAGCTTGGAGCAGAATAGTGAGCTGAGTGTGGCCGGAGTCGCGGAGCTCTGTGTAGGAGAGCGTGGCGGCTCGATTCGGAATTGTGAGTGTCTGAACTCAGGGAGCGAGAGGCTGGCGGCTCGATTGGGAATTGCGAGTGTCTAACTCGGGGAGCGAGAGCGTTGTAGCTCGATGCGGTCGTAGTCTGCTGTCTGCTCTGTGTCGAAGCTGAAGCGTCTTGGGTCGATTAGAACTGTACACTCCGAGTGCTACATTGTTGACTGAGGAAATTGTAGTGTTGAACTGAATTATATTAAAAAATATAAAAATATGATACTTTGGGGAAGCCAGTCGGCCGAGCGGACAGCACACTGGACTTGTGATCCTGTGGTCCCGGGTTCGATCCCGGGCGCCGGCGAGAAACAATGGGCAGAGTTTCTTTCACCCTATGCCCCTGTTACCTAGCAGTAAAATAGGTACCTGGGTGTTAGTTAGCTGTCACTGGCTGCTTTCTGGGGGTGGAGGCCTGGTCGAGAACCGGGCCGCGGGGACACTAAAGCCCCGAAATCATCTCAAGATAACCTCAAGATATATCTATCTGAAGCTGAATTGCATTTGTTGATTTGTTTCCAAATAAGATGTAGTAGGTCTTTTTTATGTTTAGTGAGTTTGTTGGTTGACATCCACAAGTGGACTTTTTTAATTCATTGTTTACAGCATTATTTAATATGAGTTGGATGGGGTCAGAGTGGATGAGAGTAGTATGTTGACCAGACCACACACTAGAAGTTGTAGTGTGTGGTCTGGTCAACATACTTCAGCCACGTTATTGTGACTCATCGCCTGCACTGAGAGTAGTATCATCAGCAAACAATATAGTTTTAAGTATATTAGAGACATTAGGCATTGATGTATATAAGAAACAGGAGGGGTCCTAGGAGGCTGCCCTGTGGCACTACTACGGTTAGTCGTAAAGTATGAGAGGTTATATCATTGATGGCTACATATTGGTGTCTGTCACTGGTAAGAATGGTAGGTTTGCAGACGTCGTTCTCAGTGCTGGTCCGTAGTGTGTCCCCTCGTATTGGGCCTTAACCTATATGGTTTTGAGTGACTTTATTGAAAGACTATGGTTGATTGTCATGTTTCTTTAATACAGTTTTGGTTACTTCAGTTGGCTGTTAGAGTTGGTATGATGTGTCGTGATGGGCTGAGACAAGCTTGATACTTGTTACCTGCTCGTGGTCGTTTACGTGGTCGTTACCTGCTCCCCATGACATAGGAAGCAGCAACGACTACGGTAAACTTCCCAGTGAAATAGGGAGTCACACTCAACATGTCACTGTTTGTTAATGTGCAACAGAGTCTAATAGACTGTTTAGGTTAAGAGCTTTCTTGCCAGTCATATTGGCATCATCCTTGATGGTCAATTAAACGCTGTTACATAAGGAGCGCTTTGTATCTGTCCCAACGCCCAGCAGCTAATTTCTAACTGAACTTTCCATCCTGGCAATTGTAAAACACTCGACGATCACCGAGAATATAATAGTATTAGAGGGGATTCGTCCCTGGCGAAGTATCGCATTGGGCAAATTATATTATCACTGGCAAGGGATTGCATCCACAGGTGATAATGGGACTGACACTGTCACCATATGATAATGGTGCTGACACTGTCCACATGGGATAATGGGGATGTAACTGTCCATAGATGATAATGTGGCTGACATTATACAAAGATGATAATGAGGCTGTCACTGTCACCATATGATAATAGGGCTGATGCTGTCTGCAGATGATAATGGTGCTGACACTGTCCACATGGGATAATGTGGATGTAACTGTCCACATATGAAAATGGGGCTGTCACTGTCTACATATGATAATAGGGATAATTCTGTGTACAGATGATAATGGGGCTGACAAGGTCCACAGGTGATAATGGAGCAGACACTGTCCACAGGTGATAATGGAGCTGACACGGTCCACAGGTGATAATGGAGCTGACGCTGTCCACAGGTGATAATGGGGCTGACACTGTCCACAGGTGATAATGGGGCTGACACTGTCCACAGGTGATAGTGGAGCTGCCACTGTCCACAGGTGATAATGGGGTGACACAGTCCACAGGTGATAATGGGGCTGGCACTGTCCACAGGTGATAATGGGGCTGACACTGTCCACATGTGATAATGGAGCTGACACTGTCCACAGGTGATAATGGAGCTGACACTGTCCACAGGTGATAATGGGGCTGACACTGTCCACAGGAGGATAATGGGACTGACACTCTCCACAGGTGATAATGAGACTGACACTGTCCACAGGTGATAATGGAGCTGCCACTGTCCACAGGTGATAATGGAGCTGCCACTGTCCACAGGTGTTAATGGGGTGACACAGTCCACAGGTGATAATGGGGCTGACACTGTCCACAGGTGATAATGGGGCTGACACTGTCCACAGGAGGATAATGGGTCTGACACTGTGCACAGGTGATAATGGAGCTGACACTGTCCACAGGTGATAATGGGGCTGACACTGTCCACAGGTGATAATGGAGCTGACACTGTCCATAGGTGATAATGGAGCTGACACTGTCCACAGGTGATAATGGAGCTGACACTGTCCTCAGGTGATAATGGAGCTGATACGGTCCACAGGTGATAATGAGGCTGACACTGTCCACAGGTGATAATGGAGCTGACACTGTCCACAGGTGATAATGGGGCTGACACTGTCCACAGGTGATAATGGAGCTGACACTGTCCACAGGTGATAATGGGACTGACACTGTCCACAGGTGATAATGGGACTGACACTGTCCACAGGTGATAATTGAACTGACACTGTCCACAGGTGATAACGGGACTGACACTGTCCACAGGTGATAATGGAGCTGCCACTGTCCACAGGTGATAATGGGACTCACACTGTCCACAGGTGATAATGGGGCTGACACTGTCCACAGGTGATAATGGAACTGACACTGTCCACAGGTGATAATGAAACTGACACTGTCCACAGGTGATAATGGTGGTGACACTGTCCACTGGTGACAATGGGGGTGACTGCCCACAGGTTATAATGGGGCTGACACTGTCCACAGGTGATAATGGGGCTGACACTGTTCAAAGGAA